TGCTATCCCTCCCCTAGTCTCCCCCACAAGAGTCCCCAGTGTGTGATGTTCTCCTCCCTGTGTCCCTGTGTTCTCATTGTTCAACTCCCACTTACGTGAGAGAACACGTGGTGTTTGGTTTTCTGTTCTTGTGTTAGTTTGCTGAGAATGATGGTTTCCAGCTTCACCCATGTCCCTGCAAAGGACATGAACTCATCCTTTTTTATGACTGCATAGTATTCCATGGTATATATGTGCCACATTTTCTTTATCCAGTCTATCATTGATGGGCAATTGGGCTGGTTCCAAGTCTTTGCTATTGTGAATAGTGCTGCAATAAACATATGTGTACATGTGTCTTTATGATAGAATGATTTATAATTCTTTGGGTATATACCCAGTAATAGGATTGCTGGGTCAAATGGTATTTCAAAAATGATTATTTACTTCTCCAAAGCCATTAAGAGATGTTCTCTTTTCTGATTAGGTCAGGTCTACCTAGTGTACTCTCCCTTTTGTTATTTCTGAGTTAGTTGATTAGGGGTCTTAATTACATCTGAAAAATGTTTTTACCTTCACCCTATAAGGTAACCTAACCATGACAGTGATAGCCTATCATATTTGTAGATTGTGCTTTCATTCAAGAGGAAGAGTTTAAACTAGGCATACATCTTTGGGACAGATTCCTATTAGAAATATGCATGAGTAACTTTGCTATGTAATATTGTCAAATTTCCTCCACAGGGATCAGACAACTCTACCTTCCCATTGGCAATGTAAGAAAGACTCTGTTTCCCAACATCCTCACTAACAGAGTATGGCCCCAGAAATCCTAACCCCCCGCCCACCACATCTCATAATGTGACTGTATTTGAAGATAGTGGCTTTAAAAAGATAATTAAGTTAAAATGAAGTCATTTAGACTATTGGGCTCTAATGGAATATGACTATTGTCCTTATAAGAAAAGAATATTAGGACACATAGATATATAGAGGAAAGACCATGTGAAGGCACAGCAGGAGCATGTTCTCTGTAAGCCAAGGAGAGAGGTCCTCAGGAGAAACCAACCTGTCTGACACATTGATTTGAGACTTCTAGCCTCCAGAACTGTGAGACACTAAATTTTGGTTATTCAAGCCACTCAGGGTGTGGTTTTTTGTTTTGGGACTCTAGTAAACTAATATACTTATGGACCTGCTCTCGCCTCCCAAAAGAGTCTTAAAATACCCATGTTAATTTTAATATACTACTCATATTACTGCCTTGGATATTTATTGCTTTCACATAGGCAATATAGAAGAGAAACTGCTCTTTATAAAAAATCATTTCTCTCACTATTGTAGATGATTGTAATTTTTTTTTACTTCCTGCTATATTATCCCTTTATTAACTCCATTCACTGCTTATGCCCACTTCCCAGCATGGGAGCCCCAAAACCCAGATGCTTATTCCCCAGCACCCCTGGCAGTTTAAGTCATGGGGTACTGACACAGACCTGGCCAATTAAGTGCAGCAGGCTGGCATTGTGAATTTGGAGAGAAGCAGCCCCAGTAGAGAATCTATTACAGTGGTGAGGGCAGCAGCAGCTGGGTCAAGTGCTTAGTGGCTGTGGTGGTAGTAATGAAACTGAGGTGTCTGGCTCCCTGTAGAGGCAGCAATATGATTTCCCGAGGTTGACCTGTGGTGCAGTCTTGGCCACGGCTCTGGCTGCCCAGCCTGCCACTGTTCCTGCTGGCTTTGCAAAGTTTGTTCACCAGCCCTCCTGGGAACTCTAGGAGCAATCCTATATTATTTTAATAAAAGCCTTTTATGCTTTATCAACTCTGACTAGTGCAGTTTCATTTCTTTCTTGCAGAAATTTTCTTGTTTCATTTTTTTTCTTGTAGAAATTAAAGGCAACTTTCTAAAAACCTTTAAATGAATCAAAATTATTTGCATGAAATGAAAATGAACTTGATGACTACTCAGAAATAAGAAATCCAAAGGTGTTTAATGAGGATAAGAAGTTAAAATTATAGTGATGATTGACATAACATACTTTATTTCTATCTCTTGTTTCTAATTAAAGTGCTTAATCACAAAGATGTGCATTGTTATAACTCTCTAGATAGGTGGAGGCTACATTACCTCCTTGATCATTAGGTAAAGTCACTTATACTAGGTAATTTCATTGCCAGTGGAAAGCCAAAGCTCTACCTAAAGGTTTCTGCTAGGTCTGCAGCAACTAGCATCTGCCTGCCTCCTCCACCTGTAACCTCTGATATCCTTACATTCTGCCCCATACCAGCCAACACTCACCCCATTTTAGTCCCTTCCCACATATCAAGCTTTTGTACCACTGATAGATTTGACTGGATCTTTGGAAGGATTCTCATGTAGAAGTCACACCAAGCGATGTTCTTGATCATCAACAAAACCTCTACCATTTTGCTGGCTCTTAATTTTTTTCTTTTTACTAAACAAAGCAGTTATGACCAATCTTTGAAGCTTTAGGACCCAGACACCTCTAAGCTGCCTCTTTACCCAACAGTCATTGTTGTACCTTGTTTTTGTTGCTCCTGTACCACTTCTCTGTACTGACCCTTCCCAGAATAACTGAGACATCCATATTGCCTTGAAAAGCATTAGAATTAGAAAGGGAGACATGCAAAAAGAAAAAACATAATGTGGGGTTTTCATTTTATGTTCACCTTTTGATTTCTGTTCTATATGCAAAATAGGTTATTAGGTGTCAAAGCTGGAAGGCCTTAAGGGAAACGGAACATGGAGTTTGATCCATAGTAATTTATTTGAAAGAAAATTGAAGGAGATGCAGAAAATTTACCCTTGAATCTCCATGTTTACTAGATGAAAGTTCCTGGAATAGGGAGGCGACAGGAAAGGGAGAGTGTTCTGGAGCATCACCTGAGAGGAGGTAGGAGGAAGGGCTGAATCATGGTGGGAGAGGAAAGGAGAAGAAGTGAAAGACCAGAGTCACCATTAAGGAAAGCCAAGCTGCCAAAGTATCTCCCATAGGAAGCCTGATGGAAGCTGAGCCAATGCCATCACCCACAGCCATTCCAGTGGGAGTCACAGAAACACAATGACCACACTGAGGCACTATGTCAGTTTCTTCCCATTGCTGATGGAAGATGGCTTGTCATCCATGGATCAGCAGGACATTTATCTGGCATATACCATCCAAAATGTGCTGTATAAACATTGCCTTTTTCCCCCAAAAGTCAGAGATTTTCCAAAGTTTTCCAGAAAGAGAGATTCTTAAAACCAGGCAACAGTTGGAAGTCTTGGAGGGGAAAGTCACCAATTCTCACATTTGAGAGAAACTGAGCAGCAACAAAATCTATCCCAGTTACACATTTATCAAAGTATGAGTCTAGACAAATTTTTCTCTAAAAGGTATTTGGGGGTCAGCTTTTAATTTTATAGCATTTTTTTTCTTCAGTAAATGGAATCAGAGTTACCCATCACTCATTTTCTCAGGTTGGAATAATTTTGTGCATAACAACACCAGAATTCTCTAGGATTTTGAACTGAATATAAGTCAAGTCTTCTCTTTTGTCCTCATATCAATGAGGGTATCTTTAGCAAAGCCTGAATTACTGGTGCTATTTTTGTTAGCAAGTAAAAAAATTGCAAATCCAGATTCCTATTTTAAGGTTGTTTGAATAAAATAACTTTCAAAAGAACTCTGCCACATTGCCAGGAATCTATGTATCACTATCTCCTTGGCTTTCACATTTCCAGAGTACAAAAGTGTATCTTCATCCAGTATCAAAAAGTTCACATATTTGGCCACCTCTAGCAAACAACAACTTAGTCAAAGAGTCTCTAATTTTTCAGTAGTGCAATGTCACTGCAGAACCTTGAATCAAAAGATTTACCTCTAGTATGTAACCAAAAACATTTGCTATGTAAGTCAAGCCATAAATGAGCTATTCTCATGCCAAAATTACTTTTAAAATAGATTTACTTTCTTTTTCTCTCAAGAAAGGGAAACTTCCATGTGAGATCCAAACACTTATTACAGATTTGCTCTTGGGAATGCCAGTAAGCTTTGGAATAGAGAAGAACTTTTTATCTGGCTCCCATCTCTTGACAAAACATCTTGAAATGATGCCATTATAAATGTAACACTTTTCATAGCAGTAAGCAAAAAACTTCCTTCAAAAATTTTGAAAAGGCTTTTGATGCCAACACATGCCCATGTCAAAACCGATGAATCAACCTGACATATCACAAAGCAGTAAAGCCCAGGGTGGTGCCAGGCATCACAGGGGTCCTATCTACACATGAGAAATTGAGATTTTTCTTTCAGGCAAATTTTGTTTGGCTAAGAAGCACTGCATCATTTTGAAGCTGTTGACAACCTTTACAGTTTCCAAAAGAGGTTCGCAAAATGGGACTTCTTGGATAGCATCAGCATGCACACAATAGACAATAAACAGAAGCTGGCTACACTGAAAAACACTGGAAGAAACTATTGGTAACTTTATGACCAGTCATGAAACACTAGGAGAAATGTCAACAGCTACATAGAAAATGACATAGTTCAGGAAAGACACTGTTTCAATTATCCCCCCTGCTCCATGCCACTCTAGCTTGACCGCTCCCAGGGCACATGGTTTCATCAAGATCTCTTTGAGTAGTTTCTTTCTTTCCTGGTGCCCAGTTGGCATTCCAACAGTCAAGTCGAGGCTTTTATTTAGGGTCAAATACAAGTGTGTACAAAATCCTATCAAATCTTTGTTTCAAGAAAAAGATTCATCCTTTCCAATGAATTTCAGAATGGTCAGAATGGTCTCCTTGGTTTTGTTTGAGATTTGGGATCCCACTGGCACCAACTCAGCCACACAGAAATCATGCCAGCTTTTGTTGGTGATAAAAGAGAAAGCCAATGAAAACATATTTCATCCTTTTAACCATGTGAATATCTCAATTATAAAACATAAGCCTCTTCTCATTCCTCCTAGGCTGATAGCATGAGTTCAGTTTTCTGTTATATGTAGAAAGTTTCTCCTACCTTCTCAGGTTTCCAACACAGCTCAGAGGCAGACGTTTCCAGCTCTCCCCATGCATGTTGAGTACTTCCACCCATTCCCCTTACTCTTCCTCCTGTAAGAAGGAGATGATGATCAATGGATTGGTCATTATCCTGCATTTTATGAACAGATAAGACTGCTTTTTCTTAAGGGCTTGCAGCCATGTTCTGGTGTTTCTCTCCTATTCTGTTTTTCAGTCTAATTAGCACGTATATGTGGCTCTGGTTCTTTGGAGCAAGTTCATAACATTTTCTGCATTCCAGCAGCTCCTCCCTAGACAGGGAAGGTAAGTCTGCTCAAAATCTTCTCTTCAGTTCCAGTCATCTTAGTTTTGAAAAAGCCTATTCAAGCCTCTGGCCTTATAGCTCTCCTGTCCTCTAATTTAGCTTGCCAGAACAGCCATATTATAGGGGGATAACAGTCAAGAATTCAATCAGCAAAATAGAAAGCACTCTAATTATTCAAAACAGAAAAGAATCTAATCCAGAGAGTTAACCTACAACACTGTTGGAGACACGAGGGGAAGGCCTAGAGGAGACATGAGGGGAAAGTAATGTCTCTCAGGGACCAGGACCTGCAGGAGGCCACACTGGTCTGCCCTAAACAATGGGCATCCATCACAGAGCACACATTCACTGCTGCTGCCACTGGAACCTTGCAAGCATTCACAGGTGCATGTCAGCTCTGCAACTGGGACCAGAAGTCTAGGACCTTCAAGTTACTTCTGCCATCTCCCTCTCATTACATAGGAGTCCAGCCCATTAGAAGAACCAGGCTGGAAACCAGCTGTCAAGGGGATCTTGGGAAGGTAGTTCTAAGGAGTTCTACCCCATTGGTACAAGACAGGTATAGGCCTGAGTACTCCCAGACAATAACTGGTACATTGGTAATTATAATCATTTAATAAACAGGCATGTTGTTTTCTTTCTAGTTCCCAATCTTTGCATATTGTCCTCTGCCCGAACTCTATAATTAAGGAGGAATGGAAGTGAAATTTCAGCACCAAACTGTATCTGAACCCTAATATTTTTATGTATTTGCCAAAAGCATGTATAGCAACTTTAATAACTTATCAGTCAAATAAGAGGAGTTTATCAATTTTGTAATAAAAACATACAAACAAACACAAATCTTTTGTGAAGCAGTAAAAGCATATCCTGTAACCCAAACCTAAGAAAGTAATTTTGTGAACCTCTAATAATGGGGTGATTTCTGAGTTTCTGCTGAGGCCTGTGCTAAAGGGAGGCCAGAATGTGTGTTTGAAGAGAATGACAACTGAGAGAAAGGAGTGGAGACCTGGAGGATGATTTGGGGGGAGATTGTTTTATTTCATGCTGAGAGAACAGGGTGGAGGAGAAAGGGAGGAGTAGAAGAAGTATGAGAGAGTGGCTAAAACCATTTTAGAGCAGGGATGCCTAATATCCAGCTTTACTTTGTTTGAAATTTTGTGATAATGTTTCCTTTAACATCCATACACATCGAGCGGAGTTTTAAAAGAAAACAAAGAGCTGATTTCACACTCAGATTGATGCCAGAGAGGAGGGGGAAAAAGTCACAAAGCACAGAATGGAAAACCAGAACTCAAGAAAGAAGAAATCAGACTCAGAGATGTCCTGAGGGTGTGTCCCTAGAGAGTCCACAGAAATCTTGGGAACAGCACTGGACTTTTCTACAGAGTGTGGAATAGAGACTAAGTCAAACCTTTCTAGATCTTAGGGACCATGAATTCTTTTTGATACTTAGGTTATACTTTTGTACACTTGACTCATAGGAAGTTTGGTACAATGGGAGTTTCATTGCTACCAGCCTCAAGTCTCTGCTATGGTACATTCGTAGACTGGGCTATCTATCCTGAGCTAGCCCTTTTATGTCACCATCGCACTATATCCATGGGTCTGGCATCTAACTTCAGATCACAATAAGAAAGAGAACCCAGAAGTTTGAGCCAATTGTTCCTTTATAAAAGTCAGTTTTGCAGTGTTATGTAGGTCTAACATTCAAAATGGCCTTTGGCCACTTAATTGGAATTCCATGGGTGGTTAGCAGTGGCTGGTTTGGGGAGTTAAGGTTAGCCTGGTATTGTTTCATTGTCTTCAAATATTATTGTGACATAGACAGGCATGAGAAGTCAAAGTAAATTAAAATTACAAATGCCATCCAAAGGTGGGGAAAGGGAGATAAAAATAATATTAGGTCCTTGTTTCCGTTTGTTTTTGGATATTTTCCATTCTTCTACATACTTGGTACTTTTTAAAATATTTTGTTCAGATTTTATCAGTGTTATCTGTGGGAAGTTTCATATGATTACTTCACTCTACTGCCGTTACGCCTTCCTCTCAGTTTGGGAGTAGGATGTTTGGGGCTCTTTTGATATAGCACATGTAAAGAAATGTATAGTGGATGAAGAACAATATCTCTTTGCTAAATAGCTGCAGAAGGAAACATTGTCAACACAGAAAACCTTTCTTGAATTAATACTAAATGTTTATTTTTATATACAGTGGCCAGAATATTATTCTGATACTCTTTTTTTTTCTCTCCATTTTACCAAAAATCTATCATACTAGCTAAGTGTTTGCCAGAACTCACCAGAAGTGAGGGAAAGGGGGTCTTTGGGATAAATGTTCTCCTGCCAAACAAGGATACAGGCAAAAAAATACACATATTAAAGAAAAAATAACAATAATCACAACATAGGTTTTCCTTGAGATTAAGTCTCAAGAACTGAGACACATCTAAGACACAGTTTCATGGTTGCTGACAAAAAAAAAAAAAAAAAAAAAAAAAACACTCTCAAAACTCATGGGTCAGAGAATAAGGACTTTATTCTTCAAGGCACAGCAGATAGCATGAGCCTCATGTTCACTTCAGTTCCCTTTCCCATCTCCCAAAGCACACAAGTTCTACTGGGATCTGTCCATTGGCCAGCATGGATGCTACCTACGCCCATGTTTTTGTATCCCAATTGATGACCATTGATCTTAGGAAGCCCTCAGTCTTATAAAAGGGCTGCTGCCAAACTTGCCCAACCTTTATTCCAGAAGGAGACATTATCCTTTTATTCTGAAGAGCAAACAAATCTGTCCTCTGTTAGAGATAGACGCTATGGCTATCTTCCAAGACTGTTTACCATACAAACATCCTTGGAAAAATATTTGGGAACAAAAATGGATACAAAACATGCAGAAACACAAGAAACCCATAAAAAAATTGTTTCCCAATGAAGTTGCCCACTAGATTTTTGAAACAGAAGTAGGAAAACTATCATGAAACCAGTACCTGTAACCAAAGAAAGGCTTTTCTCCACCTGCGAAACTTGCTCTGCTAATAAATGAGTGGCTCCTCTCCCATGCAGCCAAATCAAGAGATCAATACTAATAATCACTGAGGTAGCAGATATTAAAACAGACTACCAGCCTGTAATCCCAGCACTTTGGGAGACCGAGGTGGGCAGATTGCCTGAGATCAGGAGTTTGAGACCACTCTGGTGAACAGGGTAAAACCCTGTCTCTACTAAAAATACAAAAATTAGCTGGGTGCAGTGGTACATGCCTGTAATCCCAGCTGCTCAGGAGACTGAGGCAGGGGAATCTCTTGAACCAGGAAGGTGGAGGTTGCAGTGAGCTGAGATCATGCTGCTGCACTCCAGCCTAGGCAACTGAGTGAGATTCTGTAAAAAAAAAAAAAAAAAAAAAAAGACTACCATCTCTTTCAATGCAATTACCACACAGTGCACCAACTTAAAATATATATATATTAGCAAATAATCAAGGAGGAAGAGCAATTTTTAAATGTTTGAATATAAATGAGATTCTTTTCTTGAATAATTCATTCATTCAGAAAGGAGTTATAACCCGTCGCAATGGCTTTAGAATCTCTCTAATAATTTTGTGTTAAGGGTTGGGTTTCTTGAAACCACTGAGACAAAGGTAAATTTTTGAGACTTTGCTGCTAACATTTATAAGGCAAATATATAAATATACCACACTTATATTTGATTATCAATTACCAAAAGAAAAAAATTTTTTGAGACAGAGTTTCGCTCTTGTTGCCCAGGCTGGAGTGTAGTGGCGTGATCTCGGCTCACTGCAACCTCCGCCTTCCAGGTTCAAGTGATTCTCCTGCCTCAGCCTCCCAAGTAGCTGGGATTACAGGTGTGCGCCACCACGTGCAGCTAATTTTTTGTATTATTAGTAGAGACTGGGTTTCTCCTTGTTGGTCAGGCTAGCCTCAAACTCCCGACCTCAGGTGATTTGCCTGCCTCAGACCCCCAAAGTGCTGGGATTACAGGCATGAGCCATCACGCCCAGCTATAATATTTTCTTATGGCAGCCTGAACTAAGACAAGGTTCAAGGCTGCCAAGCATAGCTTTCATCATCAGAAACAGGATATTTAAAAACAATTTTTAGAATTCATTGAATAATTTTTAACCCAGTTCTTATTTGTACTGAAAAATTTAATAACAGTAACCTGCTTTAGTTAAAAAAATAAATAAATAAACTGGGAAATGATTTAGGCAGTGAATGACAACTAGCTAAAAAAGAAAAGGATCTTAATGCTAGTTTCCTCCTGGTGTCTTTGTGTTTGTTTTAAGGCACCGTAGGGTTTGGTGGGATTTCTAAAACACAAGCAAATTGATTGTCCAATGCAACGCCTTTTGTGGACGCAATAGAAAATAGATTTCTTCTGTTCTAGGTCATTCTTCTGTAAAATGGCACCCAGTTTGTGTTGGTAAATTGTTTTAAAATTATTGGTTCTTGGGGACCAAATAATGCATGAATTCTGTTTTTGAAGATTAATAGTATTTTCCACTCCATCTATCTCACTGTGGAAAATGGCGGTGGTGGTGGATGTCACACAGGCTGGGAACACTGGTCAAACCTGGCCATCTGTGCCTGGATCGGTTTCAAAGCTCTTTTATACAAAGGGTCTGGATGAACAGAGGAGGCTTGTCTAAAATGCTTTGTTGTGCTGCATGACCAATAACTATTTGGGCAGTGCCGAAGATAGGAACGGGATTATAGGCCTCTAGGCAGCTCATCAGAGAACGTATATGAGTAAATTGGAAATCACACACCTGAAAGAAACAGGGCAGTAAATGCTATTGTAAAAGTGACTTAAAGAAACTCTGTATTCCCCAAAGAGAAGACTTTTAATGGCTTCTCATAGTTATTCACATACACTGTTGTATAACAGAAAAAAGAAAAAAAAAATACTCCTTTGCAAGGCCGAGGCGGACAGATCACCTGGGGTCAAGAGTTCGAGACCAGCCTGACCAACATGGTGAGACCCCTGTCTCTACGAAAAATACAAAAAATTAGCCAGCAATAGTGATGTGTGCCCGTAGTCCCAACTATTCAGGAGGCCGAGACACAAGAATCACTTGAACCGGGGAAGAGGAAGTTGCAGTGAGCTGAGATCCCTCCACTGCACACCAGCCTGGGCAATAGACTACCTCAAAAAAAAAAGTGCTCAGAGCCTGTGTCTTTAGAGCAAAAATACAAATCTCTCAAATTACATGAGAGAAGATTGTGAGAAAATATACCACTGTCATGGAGCATTAAATACAACAATTTTCTAGACTTTACATAGATGTGAGAAAATTTTAAATGAAACATTTATATGTCTTTTTGTTGTTTTACTAATTTCCCATGAATAAGGGGAAAGAGCTAATAGATTACAAAATTAAATTAGAATGCATAAGGGAAGATAAAAGCAAATGACATTTTATTTGATATTTAAATTAACAATGTTTTGCATTTAAATAAAAATCTACCTTAAAACACGGCATATGTTCAAGTTAGAATAAAAACAAGTTTTCTCTCACCTTGTGGAGGGCACAGATGTGCCCAGAATAACTATTTAGTCCACTCTGCAAAACATTCACTAAGTATTATAACTCATATACCATTTTCTTATGGCCAAATGTCGTATATGGAGTGGATTAAATTATAAATTTTAGCATTATAGAACAATCTATGGGAAGCTATAGAGTTTAAAACTGATTGCTATTTAAAAAAAAACTGAGTAGAAACTGCAAATAACTTGAAGACTCTGTTCCTCTGTTCAACAAGTGAATGAAAAAGAAAATAGTATTTCCTACCCAGGAAAATCTGCTTGACCTGATAAATTGACTTCAGATTACAAAATCACCAGATGTCACTAAGGCTATCCTAGAGTAGAATTTTCCTTCCATTCTTAAAATGATAAAGAACAGGCTAAAGGATTATTGCCATGTTCTTTAGAGTCTCATAGCAAAACAACAATTTTATTAGGACAACTTTTATCATTTACTACAAACTTAGACTGCCATTGTCCACTACACACACACACACAATCACACACAGACACACACACACACATCAATAAGCCCCTTTTTTTTGAGGTTCTAAAGACTGTACCACCATTCAGCCTGTTCCCAGTGCCAGCTTTGCCACTCTAAATTTTATCTAAAGTGGTAAATTCAGTCTGGGAATGGTGGCTCCTGCCTGTAATCCTAGCGCTGCGGAGGCTGAAGTGAAAGGATCACTCGGGCCCAGGAGTTTGAGGCTGCAGTGAGCTGTGAATGCACTGCTGTGCTCCAGCCTGGGCAACAGAGTGAGAGCCTATCTCTAAAAACAATTTAAATCCTGCATACTCAAAAAAATTGGAGAAACATCTCAAAATTACAGTTGATGAATTTACAGTCTAGCAATTCTTAATTTGACAGTGCCCATCTGGGATTTTCCCTTATTTCTCTGAGGCTCAGTAAAATGGAGAGAATTGTATCAACCTTGTGCATTATTTGTGAGAAGGAAAGATAACCCAGTTATAGCACCAAGCACCAAGCACCAGGCCTGGCACCTGTGGTCAATGTTCAATCAATCACACCTGTTAAGGTTCTTGGCGATTTAGGAACCAGGGCTTCTCGATTTTGCTATTTGCACACAGAGTGGTCTTTTACCATTAAAAAAAATTACAAATTTCTAAAAGGAGGGGATAATTTGGCCGCCCTGTCATGGTCTGTCTTCTCTTTTCCAAGTTTATTCTGCTTTTTGATTCCACTTGGACTGGAATTTGTAGTTGTTTGCTAGGGCAGCTGCAACAAACTACCACTAATGAAGCAGCTTCACCAACAGGAACTTACTGTCTCACAGTTCTAGAGCCCAGTGTTAGCAGGGGTCATTCCTTCTGATGGCTGTGAGGAAGAATCTGTGCCAGAGATCCAGAGATCCAGTGTTAGCAGGGGTCCTTCCTTCTGATGGCTGTGAGGAAGAATCATTGCCAGAGATCCAAAGATCCTGTGTTAGCAGGGGTCCTTCCTTCTGATGGCTGTGAGGAAGAATCACTGCCAGAGATCCAAAGATCTGGTGTTAGCAGGGGTCCTACCTTCTGATGGCTGTGAGGAAGAATCACTGCCAGAGATCCAGAGATCTGGTGTTAGCAGGGGTCCTACCTTCTGATGGATGTGAGGAAGAATCACTGCCAGAGATCCAGAGATCCGGCGTTAGCAGGGGTCCTTCCTTCTGATGGCTGTGAGGAAGAATCATTGCCAGAGATCCAGAGATCCGGTGTTAGCAGGGGTCCTTCCTTCTGATGGCTGTGAGGAAGAATCTGTGCCGTTACCCTCTCCTAGCATCTGGTAGTTTGCTGCCAATCTTCAGCATTCCTTGTCTGGTAGAACCATTAGTCTGGTCTCTGTCTTCATCTTCACATGGTGTTCTCCCTGTGTGTGTGGCTGTGTAAATACTTCTCCTTTTTACAAGGACATGGTCATATTGGATTATAGCCCACCTTACTCCAGTGTGACCTCATCTTCACCTACATCTGTAATGAATGACCTTATTTCCAAATAAGGTCACATTCTAAAGTACTGGGGATTAGGACTTTAACAGATGAGTGTTGGAGTATACATTTCAACCCATAACAAAAAGCTCTAAGACTCTCATTATTTCCGTGAACTTTCTGGACTGTAAACTCTAAGGGAAACAAGCAGGACCTAATTATAACTCTGGTTGTCAGCCTCTTTACATTGCAAGCAGTCTGCACTGGAGCATGAATATGTAGCATTGAATGTATAGGGAAAAGAATCTGACCTTCCTACTGAACAGCAAATCTTGTTCTGAAATTTTACCTGATTGTTTTTAAAGTAGAAACTCCACAATTAATGTCTTGCATTGTTTACTTTCATCAATTGCAATTAATAGTTCAACTAAAAACTACTTCATTGACAAGATGGGAGTTCAGAAACCCCATCAAAGGAAATGAAAAACATGGCACAGCTTGATCAAAAATCTAAGGATGAGCTTCGGCTGGATACATGAATACTTGATCCTGCTCAAAACAAAGGAGCCAAGCTCTGAGGCTTGGAACAATTTTTATTATGAAAAAATTTTCTTTGGGTAGATTTTTTTTTAAATTTGGTTTCCTTTTTCTGTTGTTTGAAGAATGATCCATATACGGATCTTTTTTTTTTTTTTTTAATTTTTTTTTTTTTTTTTTTAAGGTGGAATGCTGGATGCACAAAAGGTTTGCAGTGAAAAGAAAGTACACCTCTCTCTGTGCCTTCCAATTACCCAGACACAGTCCCTGGAGACAATGCCTACCTACCGCCAATTCCTTTAGTCTCTGCATTTACAAACACCTAAAAACACCGATAGGTACAGACAGCAAAAGACAGCAAGTGCACTACCCTGCGCCTGGCTTCTCTTTACCTTGTATCTTGAAGATCCTGCCAGATCAGTCGCTGTTTCACTTACCATAGCAGCTGCACTCATTTTGTTCCAGAGTCCTTTTGGGTAGGAATTTTGTTTGTTTGTTTGTTTGTTTGTTTGTTTTGAGGCAGACTCCCACCCTGTCACCCAGGCTGGAGTGCAGTGGGGTGATCTTGGCTCACTGCAACCTCCACCTCCTGGGTTCAAGCAATTCTTGTGCCTCAGCCTCCCGAGTAGCTGGGATTACAGGCACACACCACCACACCTGGCTAACTTTTGTATTTTTAGTAGAGACGGGTTCTCACCATATTGGCCAGGCTGGTCTTGAACTCCTTTCCTCAAGTGATCCAATGGGTAGGAATCTTATGTATAAACGAGCATGGTGTTGAGTCCTATAATGCGCCACCTCCCTGCCCACACTCCATATCACTTCGCCACTGCCAAGGGGAAGGCAGAGCTCACGCCTGCAATACAATATCAAGTGGAAAGACAGACAGACTTAAATCAGGGCTTTCAATGGCACCATTGTACTGTTGAAGTTCTGTTTGGTCACTTGTAGTTTGAAAAGAAAAAAATATCCAGTTCAGGAATTGCTTCTCTACCAAGCTTGCCTACCTGCCTGCCTGCCTGCCTGCCTGCCTGCCTGCCTGCATTCCTTCCTTCCTTCCTTCTTTCCTTCTTTCCTTTCTTCCTTCCTTCTTTCTCTCCCTCCCTCCTTCCTTCCTTCCCTCCTTCCTTCCTTCCCTCCTTCCTTCTTTCCCTCCTTCCTTCCTTCTTGCCTTCCTTCCTTTTTTTTTAATGGAGCTTTGCTGTTGTTGCCCAGGCTGGAGTGCAGTGGCGTGATCTCGGCTCACTGCAGCCTCCACCTCCAGGGTTCAAGCTATTCTCTTGCCTCAACCTCCTGAGTAGCTGGGATTACAGGTGTCTGCCACCATGCCTGGCTAATTTTTTGTATTCTTAGTAGAGACGGGGTTTAACTATGTTGGCCAGGCTGGTCTCAAACTCCTGATCTCAGGTGATCCACCCGCCTCAGCATTCCAAAGTGCTGGGATTACAGGTGGGAGCCACTGTGCCTGGCCTAAGCCTTTCTTACTAGTTCCTTTGCTCCTTTCACTCCTAAAAGGTGATAGAAGTATAAACATTTTTTCCTAAAAATAAGAAAAAATAAAAATTTTCGGAGTTTATTTATATATTTAAAGTGGCTTACTCGCCTTTGCTAATGCTCTTATTTTTTTAATTATTTCATTTTAATTTATTCTATTTCACTGTGTCTTATTCTAGAAAAGATTTACTAAGGCTCTAGTGTCTTGTAAAAGTCCTGAATAGCTCAGATTTTTCTATTTGCTTAGAAATTTACAGATTTTTGAACTGCTTTTGAATATTAAGAAAGTCTTTCTGCACAAAGAAACAATATGTAGTATTACATGATTATTGTTCTAGTCCTCTAAAGTGCTTTTTCAAATTTGTAACTGTTCAGTTCAGTTGATTAATTAAAAGTTAACAATCTCCTGTGTCAAATCTTTTAACACATAGAAAAGTAATCATTCCTTTTTGTATCATATTTATCATGCTTTTTATTATAAAAGTAATATATCCATTGTAAAGTTATTTAAAAATAAAGGCACATGCACTGCATTTAGTTAACCATAACTGGCATTGGCATTTTTCATGGATACTCCCAAATATTTTCCCATGCACATTATATATTTGCATTTCAATAAACTCAGGATCACATCACATGTACTAAATGGCAAACTGCTTTTGCTGCCTTATCGTGTATAAGGAACATTTGTATATCATTAATCCTGCAGCACGATTGTTAATAACCACAGTGACTCTATCATAGGGCTGGAATGTGATTTATTTCAAATGCCCCACTGTTGAATGTTTAGGTGGTTTATAGTGATTATGCATTCAAAACAATATTGGAATACACATATGCATCACTTTCTTACACATTTTGCCAAATTATTCTCCCAAATACTTTAAATGTTTGTTCTTAACATTTGAGAGAATAAATGTTTGAGAATCTGATGGATTTTGCATCTCTTCTCAGAAAAAAAGGGCAAATATGTTCACATTTTTATACAATTTAGGAGCCCTCCAACCAAAACAACCCCAGATTAAGAACTGGTGGCATTTTATGTCTCTACAAACCATGTGAACGCCCTTTTGCTCACACTATCACTTTGTTTTCAAACTTTCTGCTGGCTTGAGAAATGAAACAGCACATCAGTCTTTTATTACTCTGTGACTGATCATGTATTTTTGTACGTCGCTTATTCAAGCCTTGATACCTAATATAATTCATATTCTAAATATTGAATTTAAAAAATCTAACACAACACTATAAGATCACATAATAATGTGGAAACATTCAATTCCTGCACATTCTCTGGGCTAATAAATGATTCCAATTTGTCATGTCTCAATATTTCCACCAGAGGGCAATATTAGCCCATCTATTATTTCTCTGGCTTCAGCTCTCAAGATTTCAATTGACTTTCACTAGAAGAATCTTCCTGAAAAATACAAAGACAATAAAGTTAAATACTGCATTATGCATGTAACACAATATTATATTATTATATAAAAATTACATTGTTATAAATTTTCTATTTAATTTGTTTGAACACATGAAAATGTACGAATGGAATTTCAATAATTCTAATCATAATCAGTACTTCAAATGAAAACCATGCTTTTATTCACATTCTGTATTATATCTATTTACTTAAATTATCATTATTTGTAGGATGATGTTTGCAGTATGATTTATAATAGATTCTTCATAAACCATTAGCTTAAACAGGAAGAGCAACTGATTCTTGAAAAGTCATTCTTTAAAGGCAGCCAGATTAATTCTTGATTCCAATTATTTTGTGCCTTTGGCTAACTACATAAGAAGATAAAACCTAATTTATTTTTCTAGACTAATAAAGATATGCAGCGTATCCTTCCAAGTGCTAAGGATATTGTTGTGAAGTAAAACAGAAATCTTTGACCTCAGGGAGTTGACAGGTTACAGGGTTGGGACAGGAAGGAGAAACAAATCCATGCATCCTATATACACATTGGAGTGTGGCAGGGTCAAGGGTGTTAGGAGGAAATAAAGCCCGGAAGAGGGATACAGCACACTGGGATACATGTGGAGACCATTTTAAATTGAGTGGCCAAGGAGGCTGCACACTGGATGACATCTAAGCAGAGAGCTTAGGGAGCTGAGGGACATGTTGATCTGAAGAAAGACAAATCCAAGCAGGGAGGGGACATCAGCTGCAAGCGCTGACTGGTGAGAAACAGCAAGGAAACCACTGTGGCTGAGACAAGTGAGCCGGAGGAGCCAGAGTTGGGAGGAACGAGGAGAGAGGGCAGAAGGCCTTGGCAGACTCGGGCTTGGACTTTCACTCTGAATGAGATGGAGAGAAGTTGGGATTTTAAGCATAGGCAGGACGTGATCTACATGCATAAAAAGAATCATTCTGATGACTTTCCACAACAGACTGTACAGGGACAAAGGTAGAGACAAGGAGACCAGTTAGTAAGTTACAGCAATTAACTACATAAACTATGGTGATTTGGACCAAGGTGATGGTGACAGAGAGACGAGTTTGGGGGCAGATGACATGGGTGGTGCTGATGAGCTACAGAATAGGGAGACTGGCATTCAGGGGAGAAGTCTGGGTTGAAAATACAAAATTTGGAAGACATCAGAGTCACTATAGAGATGGAATGAGAGCCCAGCCCTGGAGCATTCAATGTTAGTTAATTTCATTTAGACATTCCACAATGTATACGTATTTCAGAACATCATGTTGTACAACATAAACATACACGATTTTTATTTTTTAATTTAAAAGAGTAAATACAAAAAACAAAATCTATACTCTCACAAGTGCTTGCCTCAGCACATCGTTACCGGTGTTAGATATTAAGATTTTAAAACATTTTTGCTCATTTGACAGATAGAAAATGGTATTTATTGTTTGTTTTGTTTGCATTTATATATTTTTTTAATGAAGCAATGGGATAATGTTTTGAATATCAAAAAGAAAAGAAAGTCACTGCTACTCCATGCCTCTTTATTCTGTATTTTACGGGGAAACATGCCTAATAGAAGCTGTGTATGTTAAAGCTAATATCCTATCTAATTGAGTTGAACTGTGTAGCACCCTGACTGCAGGGCTCTCCACTGTTTAAAGGGTGGCACATCCCACAGCTGACCTTAGTTTTGCACGGAGGAGCCCACTGGGTGATGAATCCTGCTTCAGAGGACACTGGCTCTTATCATCCAGTGGGGATTTTCACGGAAACATCTCCCACAAGAACAAGCAGAGCTTTGCCCCAAATATCTCCCGCTGCAGCAGACAAGGCCTGCTACCCAGTTCCCTGCGTTCCCTGCTGATTTGTTGCAGAAAATGGACAATGAAGAAACGATTGCCAAGTGGGAGGAAAAAGAGGCCACTTCTAAAAACTGGCAATATCTTTCAAATATTTTGAATTTTATTAGATTCAGGATTTACTTGCTATTCCCTCTGACCAGGTAGACAGACTTGCCCAGAGTTCCATGTGATTTGCATTTTATATAATTCCAGTTTCTGATGAAAAGTCACCATCACATCACAGACATCTCTGCAACAGAATTAGGCATCCCTTACTTTGTTTCCACCATCCCCTCATTCTCTTTCCTTTGTTTGCTTTTTCTCTGATGCCCTTTCCATTCCTGAAATTCCGTGCAGTGTGTGTTTGCTTGTTTTACTCGAAGCCACCTCCTCCTCCTCCTCCTCTTGCTCCTCCTCCTCCTCCGCTGTGAGGGCAGGAAATTGCTAGTTTTGTTTACTCTTCTTCCCAGTACCTTGAACACAGCACGCAGAGAAGCCACTCGATAAATATTTGTTAAGCAAATGAATTGATGTGAATAGATTCTAACAGAAGAGGAAGAAAGGAATGTTGAAGCTGATGGGAACCGCGTGCATAATATTAGGAATATACTTATACCCCCAAAAAATGTTGTTTACCTGAAATTCAACTTTAACGAGGCATCGGGAGTTTCATTTGGCAAGTCTATTTTAAATGTTGGCAAAATACCCCAAACATAACACATCCATGTAGGTGCTTAAGCAATATAATCAAGAGGTAGCATGATATAGTGGGAAGAGCTGGAATTAGGATCAGACAGCCCTCGAATCATGTGGCTGTTGAATGTTTATTTTATGAAACATACTCTCTTGCATGCTATAAAAATGATTCAATTACTTGTTTAATAACTATGTGTCAAGCACAGGACTTGTATCCAGAAGTTAATCCACAATGGCACAAACTTTTCTATACTCACTTTTCCCTTATACTTTATTGACAACATCTTGCAAATTAATTACCTTCTCAAAAATGCTATCCCCTTATTCTTGTTCAGAATCATAAATGAAGTCCACTTTTACCTTTTGCTGAAGACAGATGAGTCTGTTGGCAGAATTTATGTTGGAAACGGGTTTATAATGTTGGGAAAAGTCCATGCTGAGACAATGGATGACTCAGCAAGGCTAGTTTACTTCCTGCAGGAAGGATGCAACTCACCTGCAGTCTTGCCAGGAGAGCACACCTTAACAAAGGAGACAAGGACATTTATAACTTTCATAACCTGACACAGTTGCCCTACTGCTGGGTCCAGTTTCCATTGGACGGAACAGGACCTCACATTCTTTGCTTGACCGGATTGGCCAAAAATTGGAAATTTCCTGAATAGATAATGGGGAAAGAAGACAAGGCAGAAGAAGAGGCTAGTCTGGAGATCAGGAGGGTTTCCAAATAAGGAATTGTTTAAACGCATGCTCTGATTGAAGAGACCCCCAAGCAGGCTTTGTGTGAGCAACATGGCTGTTTATTCACCTGAGTACAGGTGGGTTGAGGCAGAAAAGGGCGTCAGCAGAGGGCAGTGGGTTTTATAGGTTTGGGGTGGGCAGTGGAAAGTTACAGAACTTACAGTTGGTGATTTTTTTGCAAGCTGGGAGGGAGTGGTAGGGTGTGGCATCATGAGCCAAGATTGGTTATAAAGTCCAATTGCCTTGTCAATTGAGGCTGGGATAAGAAACAATAGAGAATGTCTCAGAGTTAACTAGGTGCCACAGGGGTTGATCATTTCTTCCTCTTTCTACGATCTTACAGCCATTTCAGGTTTTCTAATTCCAGATGGCCCTCCAGAGGTGTACGTGCAGTTCATGGGGGTGGCCATTGCCGTTCACGGCATGGTCAGACCTTACAGGAATGGCACACACCAGGATTTGGAGCTTGCTCAGTTCTGTGTAGACATGCCGGAGTGAGTCAAGGTAGCTGATTTAAGATGTAGCTGGTTTAGAGAATATATATACATGGGTACATGTTTATGCTAATAGTGGATAATGGCCATAGAGCAAGAGATTGTAACTCCTTATAATGTAATCTAAGATATAAACTTTGAAGAAGAACTTTCCCATCTCTCACAATTTACAAACACGTAAAATGGATCTTTCACTCCAAGTGTTCCTGAATATATTTCTGTCCAACCTCTTTAAAATCCCCTGGAAATGTTTTAAGATCATAGGCTCAGTGGGAGTGAAAAAATGGTGGCTAGGAGGCAGGACTAACTTGCAGCTCCCACTTGGATGAACAGAACAGCATGTGGAGACTTACATCATGCACATTTGCCTCAAGAACCACCATAGGAGCATACCAGGAAAACGAAGAATTAACAGACCCTTTGAAAGAAGCAGCTTACTGCTGCAAGCTCCATGAGACAGCTGAAAAACCATGAGTGCCCAAAGTATGAGAGAGAGGAAGTCCACCTCTGAACACACATCCTCAGGGGGGAACCTGAAAATCTAGATTATGGGAGAAGAATTTAACCTTACCTGTAGCTGAAATGAATTTAGAGAGCCAATGAAATACAAAAGTAGAAGAAGCAGTGGGAAAAGCCCTGTAGACACTCCTGGTCCCCAAGGAAGCCATTTCTGACTTTACCTTATAGGAATCCTTGGGGAAAACAGCCAGTGGAATTGGGAAAGGCCACCAGGAGGAGAATCCCAGCTGAACTTGGTTCAGAATCCAGGGCAGGCAAATGGGAAGTGCAGATAGGAGCACAGAAGCCATGACAGACAGGGAGACATGAGGCCTGAAACCCATGCAAGCTTTCCCCCACTTCCTTGGTGACCTGTACAAAGCAGCAGAGGCAGCCATAATCCCCCTTGGGACATAACTCCATTGGCCTCAGGACCACCTATGCATCCCCCATAGTGGCTGCAGCAAGCCCTGCTGAAGGGCAGTCTGAGCTCAGACATGCCTAACCCTGCCTCCACTTGATGGTCTTTCTCTACCTGCCCTGGTAGCCAAAGACAAAAGACATAAACTCATGAGAGCTCTGTAGCCCCACCCACCACCTGAGAAACTTGAGTACTTAGGTCACCTGAGGGCAAGCTTGTATCCCCCCTGTACTACTGCAGGTGATGCCCTCTTGAAAGCACCACCTCCTGCTTGGAGACCAACCAACTCAGGATGTTATGGCAACTCATAACAAAACAACCCTGCTCCAAGGAAGGAGAAAACAACAGAAATCCACTGCCATAAATCCTGGCTAACCAGAGGTCCTGAGTCTGTCCATGTCACAACTTCAGTGATAACATAACCAGCATTCGAGGAAACAAGCATAGTAAATGAAACTACCACCAAGTGCCCCCACAGAGTCTGCCTCATTCCCCTGCTACCTCTACTAGAGCAGGTGCTGATATCCACAGATGAGATACTTGAAGATGGAGCTTGCACAAAACTCTTTGCAGACAGTCCCCAGTACAACCCAAAGCATGCAAGCTCTGCTGGGTAGGCAGACCCAGAAGAGAAATAACAATCTGTAGTCTGGCTGTCAGAAAGCCTTATCTCTAGGGAAAGGGGGACAGCACCACATCAAGGGATCACCCCACAGAACTAAATAATCTGAGCAGCAGCCCTTGAGTCCCAGATCTTTCCTCTGACATAGTCTACCCAAATAAGAAGGAATCAGGAAAACAATTTTTGTAATATGACAAAACAAAGTTCTATAACACCTCCAAAACATCACACTAGCTCACCAGCAATGGATCCAAACCAAGAAGAAATCTCTCAATTGCCAGAAAAAAAATTCAGGAGGTCAACTATTAAGCTACTCAAGGAGACACCAGAAAAAGGTGAAAAACAAAGAAATTTTGAAAAATAATATAGGATATGGATGAAAAAATCTCCAGAGAAATAGAACATAAATAAAAAATAATCACAACTTTTGGAAATGAAAGACACACTTGGACAAATGGAAAATGCACTGGAAAATTTCAACAATAGAATTGAACAAGTAGAAGAAAGAACTTCAGAGCTCAAACACAAGTCTTTCAAATTTACCTAATCTGACAAAGACAAAAAGAAAAAAGAACAAAATAATGAATAAACAAAGCCTCCAAGAAGTTTGAGATTATGTTAAATAACTGAAACTAAGAATAATTGGTGTTCCTGAGGAATAAGAGAAATCTAAAAGTTTGGAAAATTTATTTGAGGAAATAATTGAGAAAAATTTCCCTGGGCTTGCTAGAGATGTAGACATCCAAATACAAGGAGCTCCAAGAACACTTGGGAAATTTATCACACACAAAAAAAATCACCTAGGCACATGGTCATCAGGTTATCTCAAGTCAAGGTGAAAGAATCTTAAGAGCCGTGAGGCAAAAGCATCAGATAACCTATAAAGGAAAACCTACCAGATTAACAGCAGATTTCTCCGCAGAACTGTACAAGCCAGAAAGGATTGGGGCCATATCTTCAGCCTCCTTAAACAAGACAATTTTGTATTCAGCAAAACTAACCTTCATAAATGAAGGAAAGATACAGACATTTTTAGACAAAAGCTGAGAGAATTTGCCACTATCTAGCCAGCACTAGGAGAACAGATAAAAGGAGCTCTAAATCTTGAAAGAAAGCCTCAAAATAGAAACTTCTCAGAGCACAAATCTCAGAGGACCTATAAAACAATAACAAAAAGAAATAAAATTACAAGGTATTCAGTCAACAACTAGCATGATGAATAGAATAGTACCTCACATCTCAGTACTAACATTAAATGTCAATGTCCTAAATGCTCCACTTAAAAGATACAGAATAGCAGAAGTGGTAAGTATTCACCAACCAAGTATCCGCTGCCTTGAAGACACTCCTTTATCTCAAGTGAATTTGGGCCCAGTAAGGTCCAGATCCCCTTCTCCCTACAGGACTTAAAGCAAATCAAGGGGGATCTTGGCAAGTTTTCAGATGACCCTGACAGAAATAAAGAGGATTTCTAGAATTTCACTCAAATACTTGATCTCTCTTGGAGAGACATTATGTTACCTTTTGATAGGACCCTGAGGGGCACTGAGAAACAGCCCATTCTGCCAGCAGCAGAGAGATTTCGGGATGAGCTTTGTATCACATATCACATCAGGGAAGGCGTAGAATATTATCCAACTGGAAGAGAAGCAGTACGAGTGAATGACCCTAAATGGTATCCCAACGATGAGGTGGAAAATTGGAAGAGGAGATGCTTTCAGGCTTATGTAGAACTAAGACCAAGACCCTCAATTATACTAAGTTGTCCATGATCGACTAAAGATTTGATGAAATTCCCACAGCCTTCCTAGAAAGGCTAAGAGAAGCCTTGGTAAAGCACACCTCTCTAGCTCCTGATTCAGTCGAGGGACAGCTTAATCCTAACTGACAAGAACAGTTATCTCTCTTCTACAGTTTATCTGCTCCCATACAAGGTTTAATTCCTTTCAACAGAGTGAGACAGCTCACTCTGTTAGTATATTTCACTTCTTATCTCCGTAATCTTTGGCACTAAATTCTTTCCTTGAATAATACACATGTTTAACCCATGCATACTGAACATTATAAAACTTTTTTTTTTTCTCTCATGTCTGGAAGCCATCAAACTCCAAATGGTCAATCAGGAACCAGAGCCTCAGATGATGGCTCTGCATTGCTAGAAACCCTTAGATAGACCTCTGGAAGGAGTCTGACTGCTGTTTTCCCCCAAACAACATTGCCTGTTAGCAGGAAGCAGCTAAGACTGGTTATTGTCTATATTCTAATGGCAGTTAGATGGTCCCTTTAAATAATAATGGAAGGGGGCAATGTGTCCTTGCAATAAGGCAGGAGTCTAATTGAGCTGATTAACACAAGCTGCCTATGGATGGCTAAACTAAAAGAGCACCCTGTAACACATGCCCACTGGGGTTTCAGCTGTAAACATTCAGCCCTAGACACTGCCATGAAGTTGGAGCCCCATGGACTGCCCATCTTTAGGCTCTTCTAAAGGTTTGAGCAACAAGGCATTGAAGAAGTGAGCCACACTCCCATTGCATGCCCTGCAAGGGGAGCAAGGGAACCTTTCCTGTTTCAAAAACATATGGCATCTAATACCAGAGCTCCAAATTTTATTTTAAAAGTTACCACTAGACTTAAGAAATGAGATAGATGGCAACACAGTACTAAAGGGGGACTTCAATACTCCACTGACAGAACTAGACAGGTCATCAAGACAGAAAGTCAACAAAGAAACAATGGATTTAAACTATACCCTAGAACAAATGGACTTAACAGATATTTACAGAACATTCTACCCAGCAATTGCAGAATATACAGTCTATTCATTAGCACATGGAACATTCTCCAAGATAGACTATATGACAGGCCACAAAACAAGTGTCAATAAATTTAAGAAA